GGTCTACAGGGTCTACCAGGGTCTACAAGGGTCTACCAGGGTCTACAAGGGTCTACAGGATCTACCAGGGTCTACCAGGGTCTACAAGGGTCTACCAGGGTCTACCAGGGTCTACAAGGGTCTACAAGGTTCTACAGGATCTACCAGGGTCTACAAGGGTCTACAAGGGTCTATCAGGGTGTACAAGGGTCTATCAGGATCTACAAGGGTCTACAAAAACGCTTAATCATTTGAGTAATCTTGTTTATTTGATAGTAGCTAACGTTATAAAAAAATCTGTACTGAGTAATTTTAAAAGCCAACTAAAGCTTTAAGATATTGCTGTGGTTACTGCTGCTTAAATTGTTGATAACAACATGCTTTTAAATGGCTTTGGCCTTTTAAAACTGATTCTTTTTTCGTATTATTTGTATATAGGAAAGAAAAATCGTTGACTTTTAAACTTTCACTTTTTATCAATAAAAATCAGAGAATATAAGTTTGATTTCATTAATTATCAAGTTCTTAATAGATTCAACAAGTTATATAAGTAAAAACATTTCTTTAATGTATCAACTATTTTAGCATTTATTTCGAAAAGTTACTCAAAAAAAGTCACTCGATATTGTTCACTTGTGATTGTTCCGTTGGATCAATCTTCATCAAATGATTCTGAATCAGTTTCAACGTTGCCATCATACTCTTCTTCACTAAATTCATCCTCGCTAATTTGTTCATCGGATTGTTTTGGATCAAGTTTCTAAAAAACAAAAAGTAATTTATTCAGTTTTTCAAAACTATATATGTAGATAAGATTTAAATCAAATTGTGTTTATCTCTCACTATACTCTAGTAAAATACCATTGAATATATAGTTGAAACTTAATTTCATACATCTCAGAGAATATCTTTGAAAAACTCTGAAAAATCATTTCTTCAAATGATGTTCTAGGTTTTGATTCACTTATTGATTACTATATCTTCATACCTGAATATTCTGTTCACTTTCTATCCATTGTTCAGTTCGTTGTTGCTCATGTATATCAAAGATAACACTTTCAAAAATGCATGGATTGATAAAATGATCCTTTATTTTATCATTAAAATATTGATAACCAAGTCCAAAATCATTTTTTTTAATGCTGGTAGTATGGCAATTTTTCAAATGAAACAAAAGTAATGTAAATAACGTTGATGTAGGATAATTAAAACCTCTTAATGCAAATCGAAATTTGGTTAAAAACGAGAAAAATTGTTCACATATGGATGTATTTATGTGCTTGAACTTGTCACCATGTTGTTTGTCATCCGGATTCATAAGCTTTTTACACATCGGTCTGACATGACCTTTTCTATGAAAACGATCTAGTGCTAACACTAGATTATATAGTTTGGTTGTATGTTCATTTTTTGTAAGATATTGTGTATCATATACTTTATTCCAATGCAGGCGTAGTGCACACGCATTATCGTAAATTAAAGAATCAGGTAGTTGTGCTCCATCTTTAAGCATTGTTAACAAATGATCCTGCAGTAAGAAAATGAAGAGAAAGAGAAGTGGAATTAAAATATTCTTACCGTCACTCGACGACAGCCTTCAGATTTTATTGATTCTGTGAAGCCTACGACTACATTACATGAAAGAAATGACACAAGTACTCCAAAAGATCGATTCTTTTGATTTTTTTCTAGTTCATTTCGATATACATTGCACATATCTTCATTGTTTAAATCTGCTACTATTTTTCGATCAATTTCAAGTGCTTCTTCATATTCATGTGTATGTAATTGTTGAAAATCATCGACAGACTTCATGTACTCTCCGTGATGTGAACAATAATATATAGATTCATCATCTAAAATACAAATATTTACTATTGTAATTAAAACAACAACAATCGTATGTGAATTTTTACCTGTTATGTCCTGATCTTTTTTTTTACGTTTTGGTGCATATGGGCACCCGTGCAGAACGGGTCCCATCTCTGGATGACTCATATTAGTTACATTGGGAAATTTACATATAATTCTACGACATTTTTGATGACCATCGATCAACATGACTTGTGAACATGATGATTGTGTACATTTTATTCCATTGATCATCTGATGATGTGACCAAAAAACAATAAAAAGATGATACAAAAAACGTAAGTTTTGTTCAATAAAAATTGATCTAGGTATTGGTTGACAAGATTTTGGAAAGATAATATAACTTTCACGACTTGTAACAAAAATGAATCTACTAAGTTCATAATACATCCATGTAACTTCTAAACGTTTTGCAAATGAATTTGCCGAAAATATTGGACGATAATTTATTTGAACATCTTCTAGAGTTGCAATGTAACTTTGAGCAAATCCTTCAAATGTAACATGAGCATGAACTAAATAATTACTAAACATTGTTAATAATTCTTTTGTATAAACTAAATTCCCATAGAAACAAATATAATTATTATTTTTAATACATTGAACAATAACAGTTCGTTGATTTGCATTTGTATCAAGAATTGACGATGGTTGATAAATACATTTACAAATTTTACAAGTACCAATATAAATCGAACATGATTTAATAGATGTTGGATATAGAATATGACCATTTTTTGAAAATATAATATCTAATTTCTGTCCTTGACATTTTTTATTTGTACATACATCAGTAAATGGCATCACTTTAATTAAATTTTTATCAATATGACATGTATCATTCTTATTTAACATTGTGTATGTAATAATAAGTTCATTCATATCTATTTTACCAAGTAAATCGTTTTTAATATTTTCATTCATATTAATAACATTATGAATGCCAACAATTATACTCTTATCATATGATGTATTACAAGCTATATTTATCATTTTGGTAAAAAATTCTAATCGTTGAGATGAGGTTAATGTTGATTCAATATTTGAAAATTCATTTTCCAGTTCAATTAAAACTTTCAATCCACGAAAACATATCTGGTTCAATATCCACTTCAATATTTGTAACGTATTGTCGTTTGTAGTTTTTTCTTTTGATGATGACAATAACGATGTTGTTGATGATTTAGTTGAAGTGGTTGACTTTGCCATTGTTGATGGTGAAGATGTTGGAGAAGATCTTGTATTTGCATCTGTTGCTGTTGTTGAGGATAATAAAGGTGTTGACGACGATGTTTTATTTGCTGTTGTTGTTATTGATGATGATGATGATGGCGTCGAAGAAGATTTTGTATTTGCTCCTGTAATTGTAGATAATACCGATAGTGTTGGAGTCACTGATGTTGATGATTGAGTCGTAGAAATTGCTGTAGAACATGATACTGACGATGCGGTTGAATAAATACTATTTGTTTCTTCAGACATGTTGAGTATTGAAATAGAACTTTGGGATTAGGTATAGTTTAAATAAATCTGCAATATAATTTAAAATGAATATTCAGTGAAAACGTGTACAGGAAATAAGTTATCTTAGATTTAAATTTCCACATGTTCATAAGAAAAAAAATGAATTAATGAATGAATATATTATGTTTTATTCTATGTTTTCCTCTTTTAATTCCAAGAGATCTACTATTTTAATATACATTAGAATATTAGAGTACAAAAAAAAAACATGATTGAGTAAAATTAATACAACAAAATAAACAGTTAAACATTTGATAGAAGTGTTGATTTACATCAACATAAAAGAGGAAAAATATGACTGTAGATAAGTACAATTTTATATAGAGAAATTTCTATGAAAATAAAAAAAATAAATCTAATTTTATCAAATCTATATCGAGCTGTATAAACTATTGATATGTACATAAATACAACAAATATTGATTGTACTCTTTTACAGTATAAATTCTCAAATGAAATACAACTATACTACACATAATCAGTGAAAGAAAATGAACAAATTGAGATAAGATGTATATTATGTTCGACGCCGAGAATTTTTAGGTGCTGGTCCAGCATTATCTTTGATTTGAGTGTATGCTCGTTTGTTTGCTTGACATTTTTTCAATTGATCATATTGCATTTGTTGAAATTCATCAATACCTATGATATAAAAATATGTTAATGGTGACAATTGTACCGATTGTTAACATTTTAAAAATAAGAAATAAGTTGACTTACGTGTATTTGAAGTTGTTGGTGCTAAGAATGATTTATCTAAACATACGGCACTATCATCAATTGTATATCGTTCACGAAAGTAGTTATCATTATTGATAAAGTTAACAAATTTAGAAGAAAAAAGATATGATGAGAATTTGATATGTGAACGATTAAGAATGTATTTGACAGGTTGATCATCATCGTTTTGTAAAAAAGATTGTTTACCATGAAATGAATTGACGTATTCTTCCATAGTAATATCATATCCAGCTAATACATTTGCAAAACGAATACATTCATCAATATTGGATGATATATCATTGTCATGTACTGGAATATGTTTAATATAACCAACAAGATATTCAATATCACCAGATGCAGTTCTTTTAGCAAAAACATCCTCGTTCCTGAAAATCTTTTCTGTAATTAATTTTTGAATAAAAATGTCACGTAGATATGAAAGTTGTTGAACAGCATGTGTTAAATCACTTTTACTAAAAACCATACCATCAAGTAGGATTAGACGTTTATAAATTGGATGTTTACAATTAGTCAAAACATTTTGAATATCTATTAAAGTTTAACAAGAAATCACTTTATGAAGGTATGTATATCTTACCATCAATTGGCGAAGAAGTTCGATGTGTAGCTAAAGTTGGTTTTCGTCCTCGTTTCTTTTTTACAGCAGAAACTGAAGATAAATTTGTCAATGATTCAATGGAAGTATCACAATTATCAAAGGACAAACACACTGGTGATGTATTTAATGAATTATATTCACTTATCTAATCAATAAATCAATGATTAACAAATTGGATTACGATCAAATGACAAAACGATATACATACGTCATTATTTGATTGTACTTCAGTCGATAATAATGGTGTAGTTAAATCAACTGGATCTTGGCAATTGCTCGATATTGTTTCGACAATCATAGTTGAATGTGATGGACATGACTTATTTACTTCAATATCTATTAAATGTAAAATCATAAAATCCAGCAGCAAACACATAAGTAACTTTGCCATTTTACCTGTTACACCTTGTAATGAATCAGTTTGTTCAACAATATCCGGACGACGATTATTTGATAGAGTAACATCAGTAGATACTTTTGTTGGTTCAAATGGTTGTGTTGTAAATTGTGGTGTTTCTGTTGTTGATGTTATTGGTGATAAACATTCAATATGAATACTTGAATTATCTAAACGTTAATTTTTGACAATCACATAGTTACATGTTCTTTCATTCCCGAAAAAAACTACTTCATTCAAGCATATAAATACTTACTAGCAATATTATTTGATGATGGTGATGAATTCTCTTCTTCCATGATTGTTGAAAGATCATCAATTGGAGTACTATTCATATTCAATGATTTATTAATGTTTAATACTTCCTAAATACATTATATAAAGTAATTAGTTGATAATCAACTCTTACATATTATTACATACTTTAAATAAAATTGATGACAGTGAAGACGAAGATAAAGTTGAGTGTTGTGGTGAAATATGACAATCAACTATTGTTTGTAGAAAAAAAAGTTATATTTATCTTCTTGTCTTATCTGACAAAAAAATACGTTGGTCATAAAGCTCTTACCTGATGATATATTTGATGAAGATGCTTGACTACTAATACTAATCGATGATTCAGTACTTAGTTGACGTTGAACTTGATGATGAACAGTTGACTGATTAGGTATTTCTGATAATAACAAATTATTATCATCTTTAAGAAACAGTAAAAATATTTTCAATACAAAAATCGACTCATTTTGTAATTTAATAATAACTTACCTTTATCTTCAACAATAATTGAAACAATTTCTTTCGGATTCCCATCCGCTATACGATTGATTGGCAATAATACATTTGATTGTTGTTTTTCTTGAGTTATTTTATCTACAGATGAAAAAAAAAATAAGAACACTTTTATTACTTGATCGAAATGATTAATATTTATTTTTACCAATTGAAGAAATTGCATGTTCGAGAAGATTAATTGTAGATGTAACAGATGTTAATTGTGCATCATTACCAATACGTTCACTATCATTATCATGTACATGATCTGGTAAAATATGAATGATATTTTTATTGATATTAACAAGTTCATATCGATATGGACCATTTTTATTATCAGAAATACGGCATATTTCTTTCAGATTAAGTCGTTCTTGGATCATATTCAAGATACCTTCGTCTTTATCCAAACAATGATAATAATTAACATACGCATTATTTTCACGTAATAATTTTATGCCTGTAGATGTTACAGGAACAATTGAAGCATTTGCTGCTGTTACTAAACTGAAATTTTCAAATAATTTTTCATAATTATTAAGTGTTAATGCTGGACCAAACATATTAAATAATTTAACTGAAGTATCATTTTGCCGAACAACATTTGGTGGAACTTTAACAAATGAATTTAATTTCATTGATGATAAATACTTGTCACAAGTAACTAAACCGTATGTTGTCATTGAATTTAAAATACGATTACGAAGTTCAGTTGAAGCATTTTTCATTATTCCAGAACCAGGACAACCTGGAGTTGATTTACAAATATAGTTATTGGAGAAAAATAAAACTGGTGTTTTTAAAAATTATATAATCCAACTAATTTCTTGTTTTTCTCTACAGTAAATTTTAAAAAGAATGAAAAACAATTATTCATTTAATGACATACTGCTTCGAAAGTTGATTTGTAAGATTAGTATCTTATCCAATTTGACTTGTTGAATTTATCAATGATGCATCGAACAAGATCTTCGTTGTTGTTTCAACATAGACGTAAAAATGAAAAGCTCGTTCCATTTGTAATTTACTAATATAGATAATTGGTCGACCTTCAATTTTTGGTAAAGTTGTAATGTAGTTTGCTACATATTGATGAGCAGCAAGAACAAAGTCCACTGATATGAATTTATTTGATGATGAATGTGGCCGAGAAAAGTTGCCTTCATCGAATACAATATATTTTAATAAGTTTGAAGCAATTTCACCAATAAGCTCCAATACACATAGTAAAGAACAAGTTTGTGGAAATTTATAAGTTGATTTAGGAACACATTCTACTAAATGTTCATCCATTTGTTGAGCAATTTTGAATTCTGAATCCAAAATTGAATTCATAAGTTTATGTGCACTAATTGAACTATCATCATTAGTTAAATCTTCTGGACGTGGATAAACTATATCATGACGATATTCATCTTCATTGATAGAAGAATTTGATAAATTATTGTTGCTAACAATTCCTTGTTTACTACGAAGCGCTTTCATGTATTCATCTTCTTCATCTGAAAATATAAATTATATGATATTTGAAAATCTTTACACTGATACAGATTAGAGATGTGCAGGGTAAGCATTTTTTATACCTTAACCGTACCCTATGAAAATTTGTCTTACCCTAACCCTATCCTACCCTACTAATTGGAATTTTTTAATCAAAGAATGAGTACGTATGATAACTAACTTTTTTCATTTTATTTCCAAATAATAATAACTTTTGATTATTCGATACATTTTCTGAAATTTCTTAATAACAAAATATCGTTCACAGCATCTTCGTTTAAATTTTGTCTTCTATTCTCTAATTCTCTAAAATTCGACCACTAGCACCGTAAACTCTTTCGCTCTTTTGTTGTGGTTAAAGTTCCTTCTTTGAGTTGACGAATTAGTTCTTTTTTTGTTTAATGTGAGCTCGAGGAGATTTTGTTGACATACTCATACAGGCAAAAATATTTAATTTTTCAAAAAAAATTTAGTATTATAAATAATGAATGGAAGAGTTTTTGTGCGAGAAAGTATATAAACAAGGAATTATATTGTGATCTGTCTTTTGATTTATTTTCCTTTTATCTAGTATATTTGTCCGTTTCTGTCTTACAGAAAATTAATATAACCAAGAGAAAGATGCCATTCTATAGTGATATATCTAGTTAAAAAATTTATCCTAACCCTACCCTTACTCTACGACTCTCTTACCCTAACCCTACCCTGCACATCTCTAATATAGATCTTACCATCATGATTGATACTTGTAACATCTGAAATATACTTCTCAAAACGAAATTCTGGTGAATATGCAAATAATTGATGAGCTATTATCAATAAATGATCAATTGAGGCTATATCAGGAATAAGTTTTGAAGATTTTGGTGGATTAAATTCACCAGAAGATGAAAGATGCCAAATGTTAATACGTCCTAATACACCGACATTTTCTTTCTCTTGATGCATTACCTGTAGAGTGGCCGACATCTTGCTACCAGTTGTAGCAAGAACTAAACAGATATAAAATATTCGATTCATTTTTTTATAAATAAATAATTAAAAAATTAACGAAATATACAGCTCTTTTCAAAAAACTTGCACAAAATTGAATATTTTGTATAATGATTTACTCCCCATTAGAAAGTAACTAGAAATTTGAATTTTTTTGGGATATATGTTCGTTAGCTGTAACCTCCCCCCCTGAGATGCGCAATGTGTTTGACGTATTAGAAACCCCCTAGTTTTTCCAAAAAAGTTTTTAAATTTTTGATATTTTTTTCGAATTTTCTTGAAAAGTTGCTAAAATTTGTGGATTTTAAGGTGAAATTTCGACTAACTTCTATCTAACGGCGCTTAAATCTGGAAAAGTTGCCAAAAAGCTTCTGAAAAACTCAGAAAAACCTTGAAAATCTCTAGGAACCTTCTGAATCGATTTCCTTATCATGATCTATGAAAATTTTTTGGGACTTTATAGAAACCCCCTCTGAAAATCGTAAACGGTAGACAAATTAGAAGCCCAGGGGACTTGTAATATAGGGGGGTTTACTACCCGTTGACTATATAGAAGTGTGATTTCTCTTCTTCCTAATATATAAACACTTACTCATGACATAATCTACCCATGTAAAAAATTTGACCCATAAAAGTGACTATTAAGTACTTCAGGAAGTCCAAAAAAGTAATAAATCATACTTTGAAGCTAGCAAAAGTATGAATAAATACTTTGGTAGGTGTAAAACATATTCTAAAGTACTATGCAAATTGAAAAAGAATAAAAAAAGTCACTTTAGTTTGCTTAATTAACATGAAAAATTACTTATAAGTGAATGTCGTTCACTTTTGTTTTACATAGGCACTGATTTAAAAAATCTATCATATATTGACATTATATTATTGTAACAGAGGCATAGGATGCGCTCGTGCTATTCGTCATGAAATAAAGATATCATCAATGGCTATCTATTACAATATAAATAAATTGAAACAAACAAATTCATTTAAACAGTGAAGAAGAAATGGTCGACTGTGTGCCATGCGGAAATAGAAAAATCTATATTACTCAATATATTCGATGTATCAATTCAATAACCATCAATAAAATTAAAGAAAACCTATCGACAATTAATGGTTCATATTATGCTCATATACCAAAACATTATCTTCTTTCTGCTGCTATACAATAATTTCATGAAAATTAGTGTTTACAACCAGATAATGATCGTAAACATACTCACAATTTTTCCAAACAATTGATCAACAACAAAGTATTAGAGTTATTGGATTGCCTATCTAATACTCAAAATGTTATTCCTATCGAAAATTTATGAGCGATCGTAAAACGCAACGTTGAAAAAAGAAAATCGAAAAAAATTGATGAACTCGAACTTATTTTATGTGAAGAATTGAAAAATGTTGATGTTAATATTGTAATGAAAATTATGATGTCAATGGAAAAACGATGTTTGTCTCTTATGGAATCTGAAGGCGAATGAATAAAATATTGAAGTATAGTATTTAATAGTACTCGACATAAGCTATCAATCAGTAATGGAAATTACTTGAGTGACTTATATACGAGGATATATTTATATAACAAGATGTGCAAGTTTTTTTGAAAAGAGTTGTAGATAATTAATACAGATCTTGTTTGGAAATAAAAAACTTACGCATCGAAAGATGTGAATCTTTGACATTGATGCACTGGCGGCCTGTAATTCTTTTAAAATCGACAAGGCCATCCAGTGCCGAACACAATAAACTTATGGCTGGTGCATTTTTGATTTCAGATGGTGAGTAGAAGCCGAATGAAGATAATATACCATCTCCCTCGTCATGGCAAAGCAAAGTATTTGTTGTTGCTAGATTTTTAGTAATAGCAAGTTCAGTACAATTCTCGGCCATGAACGAGGCCTTCAACATTTCACTTGATGTTGAAGAAGATGGTTGATCGGGTTTGGTATTAACTTGATCACGATCAATCTTGTTTGAATTTCTATCAATGTTTGGATAATATACCGATTCATAATGGTGTGCTAATGTATTAATTCCATGACGAATTACTTTGATATAGCTACTTTTATTTGTTCCTAAAAAATAACAACAACATCAGCAACAATATCAACAACAACATCAACAATAATATCAACAACAACATCAACAACAATTTAAATCTATGTTATCTTTACAAAATAGCAATCTGAATTATTTTCTCTATAATTTTCTTTATTCAAACTTTTATTTATCTATCGACCTTTGAGCTTATAGCATTTTCTCACATTAGAGAATTACAAAAATTAGAATTAGTTAAAATAATTGATTTTCAAGAATTATCAAATAATTTATAATCGTCATCGAATGTTCAAAACTATTTATGATTTATTCTTGAGACTTTATAGAATCTAATTATAACAAATATCATAATATAGATTAGGAAAAATATAATCAGTATTAAAATGATTGTTTTTTTTCAACATATATCATTATCTGTTTTGTTTAAAACTTGAACAAAAACATTTTTCTAAACTTTTTCTAACTCTTTCGATTTTCAAATCTTGAAAAATATAAAAATATTTTTTCACCTAATAACTTTCTTATAAACAATGTAAACTAATATTTGAAAACTGTTAATTTTAAGTATAGTCTATGATCAATAATCAATATTATCGATAAAATAAAATAGAATATTTTTTACTCTCTAGTTAAACATGTTTTTATAACATAAATATAATGTAGAATTTATAAAGAACCAAATCACATCGGTTTGTTTTATTTTCTATTTATACTAAAACTGTTATTACTAAATAATTCTATTCCATTTTCAATATCATTATTGAATAAAATATGAATATTAATTAGTTCTTATAACGTATATATCTATGTTGACTAAATTTATTAAAAACTCAATCAATCTACAAATGATTAGAAAAATTAAAATGCGAATAACGATGATGAAACATATATTTCTACTTATTGCGATAATATACAGTGAGAATGATTTACAATGAGTTAATGAAAATAATTAATCTAACGAATACTATTTCATTCTATCTTATGAAATTTAAATGATCAACAGTCCTTGTCTCATATTTAGTGTAACTCTATCAATAACTATATGTCAATTTAGAGAATAAAAATTATTCATACATTAAATTAAAACTTTTCTAATATTAATGTTTGTCAAAATAACAATCTCATTGAATCATAATTAAAATTAATCAGAACTAAAGTGACACGTGTTTTATAGAAATCCTTATTATTTAAATAATACAAACAATAAAAACAGTATGAGTGTCTAGATTTTTTTTCCAACATACCAGTTTTGCCAACAAGTAATGAACCTTGATTGAGTAATACTATTAAATTGCTTGAATTTTTGATGAAAGAACGATTGGATATTGAACCTAAAGCAGTTAATGTAACGAATACAAGTGTATCTTGTCGTAAACCAAATAATTCATATTGACGAAAAACCCGTCGTAAATATTGATGACTAATAACTTCATGTACATTCAATTGTTCACGTTTATTAAGTTCATGAAGATTATGTGCTAACTGTTGACTATAGTCAACTGATGTTGCAAGACGTGTTCGATTCATTGAGAATAATCTAAAAATGAAATAGTATATTTTTTGAAAAGTTAAATATTTTATTAAAGAAAAAGAATAATATTTTAATCTCACGATAGCAAAAAATAAAAATCATGTATTCATTTTATGATATTCTTAATATAAAAATTCTTAGATATATAATTATTTATTCATATTTTGAACTATTAATAATGTATTTTATGTATATTTTAACATATTCATTGTAAAATTATTTTTTTTCAATAGATTTCTCGTTAAAATCTATCTATTTTATTTATGTTACACAAAAAATGAATTATTTATTATTTATCTTAATAGAATAGAATGTATGTAATTGTGTAGATAATAAAATTTGCCATTGTTATTCTTTTATATATATAGTATTCACTTGACGTAATCGTCAACACTTGTTTGCCATTACAAACAATTTCTTTTCATCTGTACAACAAATGCTCTCAGAAGAATACATATGAATTTTCAAAAACAATTCGCATGAAACTGTGAAGATAATAATGAACTGTTTCTATTCATCAAAAATACTATCTCTAGATAATAGAACAATGTATCATTATATTCTATTACATTACCTTTCTTGTTATGGCGAAAAATATTATGTTTTATATGTAGAATATTATCATAATAGACGCAAGACACCATTCTACATTCTTATACTTTCAAACGTTCATACCGTAACGCTTTTCCAATTATACAAGTGATAACAAAAAAAGTTGATTCTTAAGATTGATTATATTATAATATGTTTTACGAAATGTTGTATTTAAAATTCATGTCACTCGAAAACATACTGATTAATTTTCTCTCTACATAACTCGAAAAAAAAAGAAACAATCATCAATTGATTACAATAAACTTGATATATTTTTAGATGATGCAAATTAAACGAAACAAGAATATGAAATGTTGAAATTCAATTCTATTTACGATATTTAAAGAATCGTAAACAGTCTCTCATATCATCGACAGTTATATGACTTTTGATGAACTTAAATGCTTCTTGCATCATATGAGTTTAAGATCAATGAAGTGATCTGATTTATCAACGTTAAAAAACAAAAAAATAAAAATGATATTGTGATAGCAAAAGAATGATCATATCTTAGTAATAATCATACTCTTATTTTCTCTTAACAGAATGTCGCAACGCATTTTTAAATTCAATAAAAAGAATATTAAACACATTCTATTGACATTATTTTTTTCGTAATCAATACATCTATAAATGATTATTTACTTCTTAGGCGAATGTAAAGTTCTATACTTAACATTGTGTGAACACTCTCATATCCATCTTACGAGGGAACCGTCCCAACTGTCCAATCGCTTTTCAGTTCGGGTCCCGTGCATAAAGTAGACCCCAGTGAGGTATGAAAAACCCCAAAAGGATAAGGGCCGCTAGGCCTTCCGTCCCGAGTTATAAGCAATATACTGAAATTTTAGCCTATGACAGGGTATGTAGAAATAAATCGAATGGCGGTATTTCGACCTGGGATAATGCCCACAGTGAGGTCTATATGTGACTAGAATACCCTGAAAATTTCAGCTAAAAAGAACGTTTCCTTCTCGAGATATTAAAGTCTAAAAAACAGAAAATTCTAGTATCTTTCGTGGGATATAGGTGATTTTTTTAGACTTTAATATCTCGAGAAGGAAACGTTCTTTTTAGCTGAAATTTTCAGGGTATTCTAGTCACATATAGGCCTCACTGTGGCCATAATCTCAGGTCGAAATACCGTCATTCGATTTATTTCTACATACCCTGTCATAGGCTAAAATTTCAGTATATTGCCTATAACTCGGGACGGAAGGCCTAGCGGCCCTTATCCTTTTGGGGTTTTTCATACCTCACTAGGGTCTACTTTATGCACGGGACCCGAACTGAAAAGCGATTGGACAGTTGGGACAGTTCCCTCGTTAGATACTTTTAGTACTTTACTATTAGCAATCGCATATAGACATAGTGCGATATTGTTTCAATTTTATTTACGAAAATAGACTGAAAAAATATATATATATTAAGAATTCAATATTATCACGAATAAAAATGAAGTAGTTCTTTTTTTAAAAAAATTAACGTAAACCAAATAAATCGCATAACTTGATGGCTAAAAATTCGCACATTTTCGTTCATTTACAATGGTCCATTGGTCTCCATTAATATAGATAAGAAAAATCTTTAATATATTTTAACAAATTTTTCAATAGATGACGTACAACGTTGGAGTAATGATATAGAGAATTTTTTTATCATATTCATAACGTATTGTTTATATACTGTAATTTGATAGCATGTAGCTTGAGTTTTACTCACATAATATTTTTATTGTATTCATAGAGCAACGAAAATATTATTTAAAGAAATTTATTGCATATATAGATGTATACCATTATGGTTTACACTTTAGTTTGATTAGATTTTTCCTTGCATGCATACTTGAATATAATCCGTTGGACCAACGTTGTTATCCCTTTAAAGTTCGACTATATCAATAGTAAAATAATTCAGATAATTTTCTGTCTTTCATGATTCAATAATTCTTGTAAAAAGTTGCAAATTAAAAATTTTAAACTTATCGAGCAGTATATAAATATCTTTTGTTATAAGCTTGTTGACCTTAGTAAAACCTTGTAGACCCTTGTAGACCCTGGTAGACCCTTGTAGACCCTGGTAGACCCTGTAGACCCTGGTAGACCCTGGTAGACCCTGGTAGACCCTGGTAGACCCTAGTAGACCCTGGTAGACCCTGATAGACCCTAGTAGACCCTTGTAGACCCTGGTAGACCCTGGTAGACCCTAGTAGACCCTTGTAGACCCTGATAGACCCTAGTAGACCCTGATAGACCCTAATAGACCCTGTAGACCCTAATAGACCCTTGTAGACCCTGTAGACCCTGGTAGACCCTAGTACACTGAAAAAAAAATCCGGTGAATGATAAACCTTTAAAAGGTTTATCAGAGTGCAACGTATAATATACCCTTTTTTACCGTTTATTACAACTTACTAAACCATTTTATATACTTTAAAAAACTGTTCAAAAAACCGTTTATAAACTTGAAGTATCCCTTATAAAAAGGTTGATCAAAACGTTTAAGCCCTTGAAATACTGAAAAAGGGTATGTTATACGTTGCATTTTTAAAAACCCTTATTTTAAAGTAGATCAAAATGCACAACCGATTTATTCCACTGAATGCATCTACGTATAAATACGTATTGAATGATCCTAAATCGTTTCAATTGATCGTATGAGGGTTTAGTAAAAGGTAAATCTTAACGTTGATTCATATTTTAAATCATCTAAGCGTTGATTCTAA